CCAAAAGGCTAGTAAAACATCAAAACATCCCAGCATCCCTTGGGCAACATCCTTGCAGATGACCAATTCTCTCACACCAAAAGTGACTTGCAATTTCTCAAGTCACTCCTGCCATGAAAAAACAAACAAACAAACATGGAGTCATCTCTTAATCTGAGTGGAATGGACATATTCTGCTGACAGCGACAGAAGCAGAGCTAAACAACATTGTTTAGCTAAACAACATTGGATCTTTGTTGCCAGTGTGATGTCTCTACTCTTTACTATTTTATCAAGATTGGACATTGCTCTCCTCCCAAGAAGTAATGTTTTTATATTGAATGTTTTTATATTGTGTAAATGCTATTTTAGATTGTAAGTCGCTCGGAGCACCTTGGTGGAGAGCGACTAATTAAGAAATAAAGTGAAGTGAAGGTTATTGTGCTCGGAAGCTGCCAGTCAGCTTCCGAGCACAATTCAAAGTGCTGGTCTTAACCTATAAAGCCCTAAACAACTCCGGCCCAATTTACCTGTCCAAACGTATCCTCCCCTATGAGCCATCAAGATTGCTAAGATCGTCTGGAGGGGCCCTGCTCTCGATCCCACCGGCCTCACAGGCGCGGCTGGTGGGACGAGAGACAGGGCCTTCTCGGTGGTGGCCCCTCGACTCTGGAACTCCCTTCCACTGGAGATCAGAACTGCCCCTTCTATCTTAACGTTCAGGAAACAGGTGAAAACTTGGCTTTGGGGATTGGCATTCGACGAATGAGCCATGATCCTGTGATATGGATGACAATGAATAATGATTTTTGATGACGACTGACCACTGTAATTATATGATTATATTTTTCTGTTTTAATGTTTTAGTGTGATTTAGAATATGATGTTTTAATGACTGTCTGTAATATGGATGTTGGAAACCGGACTGAGTCCCTCGAACGGAGGTGAGAAGACCGGTATACAAAACTGCTAAATAAATAAATTGTATATGTAGTTACGCATTGTGCATTGCAGAGCTCCACATCGTGGTTGTGCATCGGGCCTTTCCCGATGTCACCTAGTCATGGATGCTGCCGTTCTGTATAGGGTTTGCATATCATGGAGACAGTTAATCTCTGCTTATGAATATGTGAGGACATGTTGGATTGCAGCCACACGCATGTTCACAAACAAGGAGAGAGAACGAGAGTGCAAGAGCAGGGAATGACCTGTTCCTGTTTTCAGTCCCCTTCCCCTCCCATGTTTATTGTTCTCGGTCCCCAAAGACCATCTCCTTGTTCTCCTCTTGCATCCCTTGCTGTTGAATCCATTCTGTAGAAACCCAAGCTGATTTGCTGACACATCTGAGAGGGAAGAGGTCACGGTGGAGCCAGAATGTACAGTTCCAAAAGGCTAATATCTAATGGCACATTGAGCAAGATTAGCGTGCCTCCAAATGAGAGCGACGCCACCCATGGGAGGACTTGCAGGGAATGCTGCTTGGCAGCAAGAAATCATTTTAGCAGAAGAGAGAGAGAGAGAGAGAGATGTATAGGGGTGGATGCATGCCTGAATCGTGTCTGCTGTGCAACCCACTCAGGGGGGTTGTGAGTCATTTCCCTCTCCCCCACTTCCCCTTTCTGCAATGCGTTTTGCCTCGTCATTTCTCAACAGGAAAGTCTCCCCTCTGGATGAGGAGGCAGGACTTTTTTTTGGCAAGGGCTTCAAAGGCGATGTTATTAACCACGGCTTCTAGGGCCACCGAGGGGGGAATAATAATAATCTGGAGACCAGCTGCACTGTGTCACCGGGGGGTCCTGAGCCCTTCGGGTTCAACAACATTACTTCTACAGCATCATGAATTCCAGGCAGAAATAGTAACAGGGATGCAATATGTCCAACACAAACACTGCAGGAATTCTGTGGAATCCGCACCGCAAATTATGTTTTTCTTTCCAGGATGTCCTGGTCCTGACATGGGGCACAGCAGACAGGAACCTGGTTCAAAAATGCAGCTTGTAGGAGCCCTAATGGAGCCCCCCCAAGACCTCCAGAAAGATCCCACAGCTTCCAGTTCCACTATTACCTGGTTTTTCACCCAAAACTCTGCCAAAAGGGCCTCAAGAAATGGGTTGTTGTAGGTTTTTTCGGGCTATATGGCCATGTTCTGGAAGCATTTTCTCATGACGTTTTGCTGCATTTATGGTAAGCATCCTCAGAGGTTGTGTCTCTGAGGATGTTTGCCATACATGCAGGTGAAATGTCAGGAGAAAATGCTTCTGGAACATGGCTATATAGCCTGAAAAACCTACAACAACCCAGTGATTCTGGCCATGAAAGCCTTCGACAGTACACCTCGAGAAGGCTGCAAATGGGGAAGTGAGAACAAGAACGGAGTAGTGTTTTGAGCATTGGAGTACAACTCTGGAGATCAGGGCTTCAATTCTTCACTTAAGACCTCATCATATCAGAGCATGGATCCACTTTAAATCCAAGTTATGCCTCCTGCAGAATTCTGGGGCTTGTAGTTTAGGGGAGGGGACTTTAAACTGCTCAATCAAGCAGGTCCTGGACCTCATTAAACTACAAACCCCAGAATTCTGCAGGAGGCACAAACCAGATTTAAATTGAATCCATGCTTAGGTGCGATGAGGCAATACGGCAGCGTTTCTCAACCTGGGAGTCAGGACCTCTGAGGGGTCGCAAGGGGGTTTCAGAAGGGTCACCAAAGACCATAAGAAATCATATATTTCTGAAAGTCTTAGGAACTGCTTTGGCAGGGAAGGCTGAAAATCTCTCTGCCTGTCATTCTCTTCGTTTTTGGAAATAGATGGCAAATCCAGCCTCCAAAAGCACTCCTCCACTGTGATTGGCCAGCCTCTCAGCCAAGGGGAGGGCTGTTTCTGAGACTCCAAGCAGGAAGGAGAGAGCAGGCGGGCTTGGTGCATGGCAGCGTGGTGAGCATATGCGGGCGAGGGAGAGCGGGCAAGGCTGGAGAGAGGCTTGTACCCAGGGGCGGCTCAACCCATTACGCAAAGTAAGCATTCCCGGTATAGTTGATTTTGCCCAGAGGCACTCTGAGGCGACTTGGGGGAAAATAGACCTTGACATATGCGAGTTGTAGTTACTGGGATGTATAGTTCACCTACAATCAAAGCGAATTCTGAACTCCACCAATGATGGAATTGAACCAATTATGGCACACAGAACTCTCACGACGAACAGAAAATATATATCAGTGATTGGTTGGGGGGGGGGAGCGCCAAAATACTGTTTGCTTACCGTTGAAAAGTACCTAGGGCCGCCTCTGCTTGTACTAGTGAGTCCCTTCAAGTCATGAGGTTCTGTGTGGGAAGTTTGGCCCAATTCTATCATTGGTGGGGTTCAGAATGCTCTGTGATTGTAAGTAAACTATAAATTCCAGCAACTACAATTCCCAAATGTCAAGGTTTATTTCCTCCAAACTCCACCAGTGTTCACATTGAGTATTCGTGCCAAGTTTGGTCCAGATCCATCATTGTTTGAGTCTGCAGTGCTCTCTGGACGTAGGTGAACTACAACTCCAAAACTGAACGACAATGCCCACCTGACCCTTCCAGTATTTTCTGTTGGTCATGGGAGTTCTGTGTGCCAAATTTGGTTCAATTCCATCATTGGTGGAGTTCAGAATGCTCTTTGATTGTAGGTGAACTATAAATCCCAGCAACTACAACTCCCAAATGACCACACCAGTATTCAAATTGGGGCATATCGGGCATTTGTTCCAAATTTTGTCCAATGAATGAAAATACATCCTGCATATTGATTATTTACATGATTCATAACAGTAGCAAAATTACAGTTACGAAGTAGCAATGAAAATAATGTTATGGTTGGGGGTCACCACAACTTGAGGAAGTGTATTAAGGGATTGCAGCATTAGGAAGGTTGAGAAACATTGGCATAGAGATTTGAGCATTGGAGGATGACTCTGGAGACCAGGTCTTCAATTCTTCACTTAGCCATAAAAACCCATTGGATGACCTTGAGTGAGTCATATACTCTTGGCTCCAGAATACCTAGAGTCGTCATGAGTTGGAAATGATTTGTATGCACACAACAGCAGCAGCAGCAACAATAACAAAAACACATAAACCCACCCGAATTGCTCCTCAATTTCTAGGTTCTCCAACATGGCTAAATTCTGCTGGAGTCATTCTAGAGGACCTAACTATTCCCAGAAAGAACACTTGCAAACTCGCAAATGCTGATTGTACTCTTAAGACTATGGATTACTGTAGGAACACATTCTGAAATATAGAACGTGTCAAAACAGTCTCCATATAGTCATGCCACATGCATGGATCTAAACCAAACACAGTTATGGCAGTTTTTAATCTCCTTCAGGAAGAAGGTCTTTTGTAAAACTAATGAGTCCCCATTGTGTCTTTGGTACCACACCACCAGTCAACACTTTTCATTGCAATATGGAAATGGCGCTGGGAACATCCATTGGCTTCCAGCTATGTTAAGGATTGGAGTCCCTGGAAGCACAGCGGGTTAAACCACTGAGCTGCTGAACTTGTTGACCGAAAGGCCGGAGGTTCGAATCTGAGGAGCTGCATGAGCTCCCACTATTAGCCCCAGCTTCTGCTAACCTAGCAGTTTTAAAACATGCAAATGTGAGTAGATCAACAGGTACCGCTCCAGCAGGAAGGCAATGGCACTCCATGTAGTCATGCCAGCCACCTTGGAGGCATCTATGGAAAACGCCAGCTCTTTGGTTTAGTCATGGAGATGAGCACCAACCCCAGAGTCAGACACAACTGGACTAATGTCAGGGGAAAACCTGTAAGGAATACAACCAAACTAAGCTTTGTAGGGAAAAGCTGAAATCCTTGATCATTAGTCATGTTGGCACGAGGTCTTAGGGATTATAATCCAAAAGATGCAGTATCTCCATGTTCTGAAAGATTCTAGGTCTGATCTTGATGAGCTGGTTAGTAAGACTGAAGAAAAACAAACAATCCAAACACTCAAGATTTAAAATCTTTATTTCCGAGATGAGCTTAGGAAGGTTCAAGGGTTAAGTTTTTCACCTGGCGGTGGGTTAAAAATAGTTGATGACTCTTCTGAAGGACTGGATGGTTGCGCTGGGTGCTTGCCATTCGTTGCAGCTACTGTAGTCCCCCCTTTCAACAACGTACATTTGGCCACGATAATTGGGTTCCTCATATAACACCCACCTGAAATAGAAGTGAAATCGATTATATTTTCAAAATGCTTCAAGCGATATTTACAGTTTGGTACAGTTTGGTACAGTTGGATTCCAGGACAGGAGGTGAGACATTATGCCGCTTGTGGTGTAATGGGAAATAAACCACATGTAGTTCACATTTGATCAGCCCACACAGTGCCTTGCCAGAGAAAGAAAATGTGCCACACAAGTGAACAGTAAAGAACAAGTAGCTTACTTTTCTTAGTTCAGAACAACATATGTGTAATGTGATCAGTTGTATCAACTGACATAATGTCCTTTTGTGAGAGGATTAAAATAGTCCTTCTTTGTCCATTTGGATAAACTCCTTCAGCAGCACATCTCGCAGGCATATAGCAGGGTTGGGATGACAGTAGCTTTTTAAACAAGCACCTTGGTATCCCGACAGAGGCTCTGGTCCTCAAACACTCTCTGCTTCATTCGGAAAAGTGCTGCACTCGCAGAGCTCAGGCAGTGTTGTATTTCGTTGTCGATGTTGACTTTGGTGGAGACGTGGTTGCCAAGGTAGCAGAAATGGTCAACATTTTCTAATGTTAAACCATTAAGGTGTATCTCTGGCATTGGAAAGGGGTTGGCTGGTGGTGACTGTTGGAATTTGTGCCAAATTTGGTCTAGCGAATGAGAATACATCCTGCATATTTACATTACGATTCATAACAAGAGCAAAATTACAGTTATGAAGTAGCAGCAAAAATAATTTTATGGTTGGGGGTCACCACAACATGTTGAACTGTATTAAGGGGTTGTGGCATTAGGAAGTTTAGGAACCACTGGAATAGGGGAACCAGAGACTCTGGGGTCTCCTGGGAAGTTAGGGGAGATCATTTTTAGGGGTTCTAAATGTTTCATTTTTGAATTAAAATCCTGGCCAGTGTGTCATAGTGCAACGTTGAAACCATTACGGCACGCTGGCTCCCCTCCATAAACTGCAAATCCAGGGATTTCATCGGATGGAACCAGAGCCATTAAAGTGGAATCAATAGCACTCTATCGGTGTAATGCGCCAGTTCCCTGTGAGCCTATGATTTTGTAGGGCTTTTAGCCAACTCTTCAGGAGAAAGCTTCTGTCCCCGAGAGGCCCGCGTTCACCAGGCATGCTTGACCTTTCCGCCAGAGAGTGCCTACACATTTCTGCTATTTTGCCCTCCTTAGAGATGCTCTCTTGGCACGGAAGCATGATGTGTAAACCAGAACTCCAGCTGCGCCTTGCACAAGCCAAGCGCTCCCTGGCTCTGGAGCAGAAGCACCCCTTCGGCCTCTCCTCCGTCTCTCTCACACATGCTTCTCTGGTGTGTTTGTTTGTCCAAGAGAAGCGCATGGGACAACAAAGCCACAAGACAACAACAAATTAGGACATAATCACAGAGCAATTCCATTCCTTGAAAGAGGATGAGGATTTGTATACAAAGAGACGGAGGTGGACTCCCTCTTCTCCAGAAAATACTCATTTTTTGGTCGGAGACGATGACGCCGCAGTCCTGTTAGTTAGTTGGTTGTTGGTTTTTTTTTAGGGGAAATGTTTCAGAGGCGGGTATGAAGTGGGTGGGAGGGAGACTGTTGGAAAAGGATCACAAAGCAAGAATGCAGCCTTGCAGGAAGGATGTAATCTGTATTAATCATGCTCACCATAAAAAATAAACCCTCATTAAAGGCATCCTTTCATGCCTCATGCTGAGTTTTGTTTTGGATGAGCAACATTAACAGTAGATGTCTTGAATGGGATGACAACACGGCAATCCTTTTATTGCCGTGTCATGAGCCGGATCTCTAGGGAATTGCAAGAATTTGGGGACTCAGAAGGCACAGAAAGTTAAACTGCTGAGCTGCTGAGCTTGCTGACCGAAAGATTGGCACTTTGAATCCGGGGAGTAGGGTGAGCTCCTGTTGTTAGCCCCAGCTTCTGCCAAACTAGCAGTTCGAAAACATGGAAATGTGAGTAGATCAATAGGTACCGCTTCTGCGTGAAGGTAACAGCGCTCCATGCAGTCATGCTGGCCACATGATCTTGGAAGTGTCTATGGACAATGCTGGCTCTTCATCTTAGAAATGGAGATGAGCACCACGCACCAGAGTCGGACAGACTAGACTTAATGTCAAGGGAAAACCTTTACCTTGTAAGGGAGCAAAGGTGTGAATCTGGGACTTTTTCAGAGCAGCTAGGGAACGAATGAACAACAACAAGGGATGAAGCTGTGGAGGAGGGTAAAATGACGGCTTTGTATGCCAAATAAGAATTTCTGTGCCTTGCAAATACAACTTCCTTTCAACTAGCTTTGTAACAACTTGAAAATCCAGTGAGCATTCAGAAACATAATATCACCATCCAAAGAAAAGAGGCAGGCAAAATGGCCAAGGGAATATTAAAATAGTAAATGTAAGAGTTCTAGGTGATAATAACTTTCGGTGTCTGAAATGCGAGAAATTTGCGGAAAGAAGGAAAATTTCATTTGGAAGAGCAGAATTCGCATTTGGCTGGCCAATGCTGCTTTTTGCCCTGGTCAAGAGATAAAAATGGATACAATATTGATAATAACAACAAGAGTATATTATTATTACATATTATTATATGTTGTTGTTGTTGTAGAAGAAGAAGAAGAGAAACACGCATGGGCAGATTTTGTGGAAGGCAGTCAAGAACCAACATTGATGGAAGTCAATAATAGAAAACTGCTTCAAGTGCAAAAGACAAAGAGTGAATTCTGTAAAAATACAATGCGGAGCAGAAAAGAAAACTGGCTACATTGAGAACAAGGACAAAACATGGATGTGGCTCACAAATCGAACTTTGAAAAAGGAGATGGAGGGCCTGATTGGTGTAGCACAAGAATAAGCCATTAGAACCAATGCCATCAAAGCCAGAATTGAACAGTCGATGACAGATTCCAAGAGTAGACTCTGCAAGGAAGCAGACAAAACAATGGATCACATACTCAGCTGCTGCAAGAAGATCGTGCAGATGGACTACAAGCAGAGGCACAACACCGTTGCTCAGATGATCCATTGGAACTTGTACCAAAAATACCGTCTGCCTGCGACAAAGAACTGGTAGGATCACAAGCCTGAAAAGGTTACGGCAAATGAACACGTCAAACTATTCTGGGACTTCCGAATCCAGACTGACAGTTTTGGAGCACAATACTTCTGACCTCATGATCGTGTTAAAAAAAACAAGTATGGATCGTCAATGTTGCAATCCCAGGAGACAGCAGGATTGACAAGAATCACCTGTAAAAAAGCTTACACAATATGAGGATTTAAAGATCGAATTGCAAAGACTCTGGCACAAGCCAGTAAAGGTGGTCCCAGTGGTGATCGGCACACTGGGTGCAGTGCTTAAAGACCTTGGCCTGCACTTAAACACAATCAGCATGGACAAAATTACCATCTGCCAGCTGCAGAAGGCTACCTTACTGGGATCTGCATGCAGTATTCGCATAGTCCTAGACACTTGGGAAGTGTCTGACGTGTGATCCAATACAACAGCTAGCAGAGCGATCTTGTTTGCTGTGGACTCATTTTGTTGTGTTTCTAATATTATTATTATTAATAATAATAATAATCGTCATCATCATCATCACCATCATCATCATCATCATGTCTTCATATCTCCTTACCCTGCCTCCCAGCTACAAACTTGGACAACTCTGAAATCATGCCAAGGAAAGAGAAGAAAAGAATTTCAGATGAATGTAATTTGCCTTATCTATGAAAAAAGCCAGCAAAAAAGAAACAGCCATGAAAAAAAAGAATGAGATCAAGCTGAGTGAAACCAAGCTGAGCCTACAATAAAGGAATAAATGCATATTATTTGTGTATTAAGCACCTCAACGCTGTTGAAATATCATCTACAGGATTGCAACACGCTGGTTATCAGTGAGGAGTCTTGGCAATCCAAAGGCAGTCCAAGAAAGACTGGCATGGGTTGCGTTCTGAAGCTGTGGTTCCTGCTTCTAGTCTTTATTTTTAGATGTTATTACGTTTTGTTTGGCTGCATCTGAGGGTGCGAAAAGTGTTCCAAGCTTAGTCCATCCAGGTCAGGGGGACTGGAACCAAATATTTGCTTTGGCACCTTTATATCTGGCCATATAGTTATACACAGTGATCCCAACCCAGTGCTTGGGAAGTTACTTTTGAAAAGGAATTAGTTATTTTATTCAGTGCTCTGATCATCCAGTCCATGTTCTTGTTATTACAGCCTGGAAAAATGAGTTGCTGAGTTACTTGTTTACTAACAAAGCTAACTCTGAACTATATTAAATGATGTTGCAATACTTACGCTCCATCCCCATAGACTTTGATGGCATTGATCCAGTCCTTGGACCAGCCTTGCCTACTCAAGAAAGAGCAGTCTTCGGTGAATTCCTGGCTGCGGCCACTGAAGTATTTCCCTTCGTAGATTTCTATTCGGTAATGCTCCCCATGCTGTCGATAAGGATGAAGCAAAATTTAGCTTTCATGGCAAAAATAGTTAGCAAATATATTGTCACAGGCTTTCATGGCCGGAATCACTGGGTTGTTGTAGGTTTTTCCGGGCTATATGGCCATGTTCTAGAGGCATTCTCTCCTGACATTTCACCTACATCTATGGCAAGCATCCTCAGAGGTAGTGAGGTCTGTTGGAAGTAGTAAAAATGGGTTTATATATCTGTGGAACATGGCCATATAGCCCGGAAAAACCTACAACAACCCAGTTAGCAAATATATCAAAAAGAGCACTGTACCCTGTACAAAATATAGAGAAAGTATTTGTATTTACCATTTAGTTAATCTTCCCTATTCTTGCACATCCACATACCCTTTAAGGTTTTATTTTGTTTTGTTTTGGTTTGCTTTGTTTCGTGTCAGGACCTGAGAAACTGCAAGTTGCTTCTGGTGTGAGAGATTTGGCCATCTGCAAGTACGTTGCCCAGGGGACGCCCGGCTGTTTTACCATCCTGTGGGAGGCTGGAGCTGACAGATGGGAGGTCACCTAGCTCCCCTGATTCGAACCGCCAACCGTTCAGGTCAGCAGTCATGCCAGCACAAAGGTTTAATCCATTGCATCACCAGGGGCAACACACATTTTAGTGCCTCAAATGTTAGCCCTGTTTCTGAGTATGTTTGACACACTGATTTCAAAAATGGCACCCGTTTTCCCCTATCAGCTCTAGTTTTTGAGATACATAACATACGCCAAGGGTCTGGATACAGAACACATGCCAAGGGTCTGGAGAACAATCATACAACTCATGGTTATAGTCGTCCAGAGAGGGCGACTAAAATGATCAAGGGTCTGGAGAACAAACCCTATGAGGAGCGACTTAAAGAGCTGGACATGTTTAGCCTGCAGAAGAGAGGACTGAGAGGAGACATGATAGCCATGTATAAATATGTGAGGGAAGTCATAGGGAGGAGGGAGCAAGCTTGTTTTCTGCTGCCCTGGAGACTAGGACGTGGAGCAATGGCTTCAAACTACAGTTGCATGTGCAAGTGTGATACACCTCCCAACCCAAGAAGTACGCTCACACACGATGTTGGGATGCACAACGGCCACAACTCATTTATTGATAACAGGAACAAGGGTTGGCAGCCAAGCATGGGTCCTGGATCACAATCAGGCAGCCCAATACTGCCCGATCCCGCACACGCCAGGGTGCCACCGGCACAATAACGGGCAGACGCAACTAGGCACCCCTGGGACCACCGGGCGTCCCCCCTTTCCTCTGGGGGGGGGGATACCAAACCAGATCCAGGGCCCGTGCCCCACGCCAACAAGGAGTTGTGGCAAGGAGCATAAAACAACAAGTAACTGTTAACAGGTAACCAGGACAAGGTAAACAGCCTCAAAAGATAACCGCCAATGAAAACATAAACCGCATGCAGGGTGGGTGGGATGGATCAGCTGTTGCAGGCACAGTGCCTGCTGGGGAGCCTGAGGCAGCCTTATAAAGGCTGCCCACATGGAGGAAGAGGCCAGCTCAGGCCTCTCCTGCAGCGGGCATGGTCAGTTGGCCATTGGTCAATTGACCCGCCGGCGGGAACCTTCCCGCCATCCGAGGGGGCTTCTGGGAGGAAGAAGCCCTCCCTAAGGCCAGAATGGCGGTGGGGGACACCCTGCACCGCAACTTCTTTGGCCCGGTAAGTCGGGCCATGCCTTGAAAGGAGATTGCACCTGAATATTAGAAAGAACTTCCTGACTGTGAGAGCTGTTCAGCAGTGGAATTCTCTACCCCAAAGTGTGGTGGAGGCTCCTTCTTTGGAGGCTTTTAAGCAGAGGTTGGGTGGCCATCTGTTGGGGTGCTTTGAATATGTTTTTCCTGCTTCTTGGCAGAATGGGGTTGGACTGGATGGCCCATAAGGTCTTTTCCAACTCTATGATTCTACTGGGCCCCCAAATAACGATAAGCATATCAAGGATACTGGTACTGATGTGGTTTTCAGAATTGGCTCCCCAAACAAAACCAGGAAGAGGCCTAAAAACCAAGACACTAAGGAAAAATATTTTAGAAATGTGAACTGGTCATGCTCAGGTTAAAAGACTGCCGCATCACCTTTGACATCTGCAAATGATCCAGACATGCATGCATAGCGAAATGAAATGAGAATCCCACCCGGGACAGAAATATTAAGAAGATATTCCAAGATACACAGATCTTGAGACTGTTTGCCTCAAAACCCCCCAAAATGAATTTTTTCCCCTAAGTTTCCAGTCAAGGCTGATTATTTACACAGGATAAATGCTGTGATGTTATTAACTGGCGTAAGACGGAGGGAAAATAAACCTCTCCCCCTTTCCCGCTTTGGTTTCCGCAGCCCAAGCATGCAAGTTTTTTGGGGGTGAATTGAGGTAATGTCCTTTAGGAATCCCTCCCCCAGACTAGTTTTGTTCTGTGTAGAATTCACAGACAGGTATTATTTTCTTGATTTTTTTTAAAAAATAACTTAGTTCAATGATATTTGATAGGTTTATAAATGAAATAATGCAGGAAATGGCTGGGTTTAAGGTACCAAAAAGGTTACAAAATATTTGCAGCTGTGAGATCTTACATAAGCTTGAAATTGGGGTCAAAAATTTACTGGATTCTATACAAAGAGAGAGAAGGAAGAGCATAACATTTGGGGAGTAAAGGACAATTTCCTTGGGGAGAAAACTTCTTATTTGGGGGCAATGCTCTCAATTCTTTCCCTGCACCATTGCTACACACCTGGATCCAGGAAAGTCTGCAAGGATGGTGGCCCAAAACGTTGGCATCACAACCAAAAAGTTCTGTTTCCATTTGTGATGAAGGCACAGACTGATGCTATTTTATTTTACCATCACTTATAAAGAAACTAGAGACACAAAACATGGTCAATGTTGCAGTCCAAGATCTGGAAGACTGTGAGTTCCCTAAATTAGGAATGAGGCCTTTTTGTGAATTGCAATTCCCCAAATTAACCAGATATCGTTGATAGTGGCTGCTCTCTTGCAGCCACAAGATGCAGAGCCATCCTTAAGAAACGGGGCTACGAAGTGGAGTCCACGACATGCGAGTGTGAAGAGCAAACCACAGACCACCAACTACAATGTAACCTGAGCCCTGCCACATGCACAATGGAGGACCTTCTCAAAGCAACACAAGAGGCACTCCAAGTGGGGGAATTGGGTGCATTTGTGCATGCTTTAAAATCCTGATAAAGGATCCCATGAAGGAGAAAACATCTGAAAATGTGTCTCACTCAACAGCAGGGGGAAAAGGTACACTAACCATTCCAACCGGCTTGCATGATCCCATCCGGTCATTGTGCCCATTCCAGCGATAAAAGCTGGGGTATTCGCCATGCTCCAGGATGTACTGCTGGCCTCGGAAATCCGTATGACTGAAGCAGACCCAAGCTCCGGTTTGTACGCAGATGGCATTGACTCGGTTAGCAAAGCCCCGTTCCTGGAAGTTGTCACAGGGCCCAGAGACCTCCAACTTTTTGCCTGTGAAGCATTTGCCCTCATAGAAAACAATCTGTAAGGAAGATATTCCATGAATAAAAGCTACAGTAGAGTCTCACGTATCCAACATAAACGGGCCAGCAAAACATTGGATAAGCGAAAATGTTGGATAATAAAGAGGGATTAAGGAAAAGTCTATTAAATGTCAAATTACGTTATGATTTTACAAATTAAGCACCAAAACAACAAATTGAAACAAAAAGCAGTTCGATACACAGTAAAGTTATGTAGTAACTATCTGTACCCCACCACGCTTTGCTGTGGCCAGCCTTCCCTCCCTCTTTCTCTCCTTTTTTCCCTCCTTCCTTCGCTCCCTCTTTCCTTCCTTCATTCCCTTCTCTCTTTTCTCTTCTCTCCTTTCCCCCCTTTTCTTTCCTTCCTCTTTCTCTCCTATCTTCCTTCTACCTCTTTCCTTCCTTTCTCTTTCTTTTTCTTCCATCTCCTCTCTTTCTCTTTCTTCCCTTCCTCTTTCTCTCTTTCTTTCTTCCTTTCTCCCTCTTCCTTCCTTCTTTCCCTTTTTCTTCCTTCTCTCCTTCCTTCCTTCTCTATCTCTTTCCTTCCTCCCCCCTTTTTCTTTTTCTTCTCTTTCTTCCTTCTTCCTTCCTTCTACCTCTTTCCTTCCTTCCTTTGCTTTTTGCTTCCATCCTTCCTTCTCTTTCCTTCTTCCCTCCCTCTTTCTCTCCTTCTTTCCCTCATTCCTTTGCTCCTTCTTTCTTTCCCTTTTTTCTTTCCTTCTCTCCTTCCTTCCTTCTCTACCTCTTTCCTTCCTCCCCTTTTCTTTTCCTTCCCCTTCTCTCCTTGCTTCCTTCTCTACCTCTTTTCTTCCTTCCTTCGCTTTTTGCTTCCATCCTTCCATCTTTCCTTCCCTCCTTCTCTCCTTCTTTCCCTTCTTTCTTCGCTCTCTCTTTCCTTCCTTTTTCTTCTTTCCTTCTCTCCTTCCTTCCTCCTCTATCTCTTTCCTTCCCCCTTCCTTCCCTCCCTCCCTCCCTCCCTCCCTCTTCCTCCCTTTTTTCTTTCCTGTCTTTACAGCTTTGTTTTAAAGTCCTTTCCACTGTTTTTTTTTGGGGGGGAATGTGATGGTCACTCGTTGGTCTCTTAGGGGTATAAACCACCTCTTCTCTGTAGTTGCTTCCCTTTGCTAGGAAAGGTCCCCAAGAATGAAAACATGCAGTTCTTGTGGGTTTTTTCGGGCTATATGGCCATGTTCTAGAGGCATTTCTCCTGACGTTTCGCCTGCATCTATGGCAAGCTTCCTCAAGCTTCCTCGATTCCACAGATATATAAGCCCCTTTTTCCCAGCTCCAGCAGACCTCTGAGGAAGCTTGCCATAGATGCAGGCGAAACGTCAGGAGAAATGCCTCTAGAACATGGCCATATAGCCCGAAAAAACCCACAAGAACTGAGTGATTCCGGCCATGAAAGCCTTCGACAATACACATTACATTTTTATTTATATAGATTACTGTATTTACAAATTTAACACCAAACATCGCAATGTATTGAAACAGCTGTGGATCTGGGCAGGAGGCAGACAGCGTTGGATAATACAGAACGTCGGATGAGCGAAGGTTGGATAAGTGAGACTCTACTGTACTGTAAACTGCCAGTCCCAAAACCCATTGGGATTCCAAGCACATGGCATTTACTGCCAGCTGGATTTAATTTTGCATCCAACTAGAGAGAGAGAGAGAGAGAGGGAGACCAAAAAGGAAACTGGATGAGTGTCTTTAAGCATAAATTACAGCTCAGCTCTAGTTTACAGCACTGTGTGTGGTGCATAAGGCAAACTCCCTCTTGGCCTTTTGTAAACACCACAGTTTCAAATTTTATGTTTGGATTAATCAGGGTATATTCCATGTTTCCCAATCACCCCTCGTCCTTCTCTTTAGGTCACCAGTTAAGGGAATGTCCCCTTCCTTCAGACCACCCTGACTGTATGGTGACTCCACCCTCAAGACAACATAAGTCTACAGGGTTCCTGAAGCCTTACTCTGTCAAACCATCCCATCTCCCGCTGGCACATTAAGGTTTTATTTTCCATCTCACAATGTTTCCTTTTAAAGACATTTAAAATCTAAGAAAAGTTTGAGAAAGTTACTTACTTTTCCTGAATACTGAGACATGACTTATTTTGACGATCTGCCCGATGCTCACATTGAAGCCGACTCCCCAATGGGATTTGCAGAACTGCAGGAAGCAGTATATACAGTATATATATCAGTGATGGTGAGACCCGTTTGGGGTCCTAAGGGCTGCCAAACAATACACACCAGCAACGATTCATGCTTAGTTGGCAAGAACCGCATGCCCCGGTCTCTGCTGATACAAAGGTTTTGATTTAACATGGACAAAAGAATCACTTGATGGGGATTTGAAGCATGAGCGCCGTACATTTGCAGTTGCTTTTAGAGATGGTTCATTTAGAATAGGTAACAATGCAAAGGTGGCCAAATCTTCCATGTATCTTGATTTCTTTTTAATATAGAAAAGTATATTTCCATCAGAGACTCTCCTGAAGGCCATAGTCAGTATTTTCAGAAGATGTCTTCAAAACTATGAACGTGTAATGCCATCGGTATACTGACTCAGGTCATTGGTTCATCAAGCCAGATTCTGTCTATTTTGACATGAAGTTTTCCAGGGCTTCAGCCAGAAATCATTCATAGCCATGTTATCAATGAATCCAGTGTCTTGGACCTATATATGCACAGGACAGTACTATCACCAATCTGCTGTCCTTCCCCTAATGCAGTGTTTCTCATCCTGGGGGTCGGGACCCCTAGGGGGGTCACAAGGGGGTATAAGAGGGGTCACCAAAGACTATCAGAAAACAGTATTTTCTGTAGGTCATGGAGGCTCTATGTGAAGTTTGGACTAATTCTATTGTTGGTGTGGTTCGGAATGCGCTTTGATTGTAGGTGAACTATAAATCCCAACAACTACAACTCCCAAATGTCAAGGTCTGTTTTCCCCAAACTCTACCAGTGTTCATACTTAGGCATATTGAATATTCATGCCAAGTTTGGTCCAGATCCATCATTGTTTGAGTCCACAGTGCTCTCTGGATGTAGGTGAACTACAACTCCAAAACTCAAGGTCAATGCCCACCAAATCCTTCCAGTATTTTCTGTTGGTCATGGGAGTTCTGTGTGCCAAATTTGGTTCAATTCCATCATTGGTGGAGTTCAGAATGCTCTTTGATTGTAGGTTAACTATAAATCCCAGCAACTACAACTCCCAAATGACAAAATAAAATACCAAATTTGAGCATATTGGGTATTTGTGCCAGGTTAAGTCCAGTAAATGAAAATTTACATTACTGTTCATAACAGTAGCAAAATTACAGTTATGAAGCAGCAACGAAAATAATTTGATGGTTGGGGGTCACCATAACATGGGGAACTGTAATAAGGGGTTACAGCATTACGAACGTTGAGAACCACTGCCCTAATGCCATCGGTATACTGACTCAGGTTGGTGCCTGCTGGAAGAGCACTTTGGTTTTCTCAATGTTCAATGAGAGGCCAAACTCCTCATATGCTTCTGCAAAGATGTTTAGAATGGCATTGCAATCCCTCTGCAATGCCAAAAATACAATGTTGACTGTTTCTGCTACCCTGGCAGCCACTTCTCCACAAAAGTCAACATTGATACTGAAATTCAACACTGCCTGAACTCTGCGAGTGCAGCATTTTTCTAAATGAAGCAGAGAGTGTTTGAGGACCGGGACATCCGTAGGGATACCAAGGTGCTTATTTATAAAGCTATTGTCCTCCCAACCCTGCTATATGCCTGCGAGACATGGACTGTCTACAGACATCACATGCAACTCCTGGAACGATTCCATCAGCATTGCCTCCGAAAAATCACTGGCTTGTTTGGCTACTAAATTGCACTGTTGACTTATGTGTAGCTTGGGATTTACTAAAACCTCTCTAGATCATTTTTCCAATCATTTTGATTTCTGACCCTATCCTCTCCTAATTTGGTGTCATTAGAAAAACTGGTGAGCATGCTTTCAGTTCCATCTTCCAAGTTATTTAGAAACATGTTGCATATCACCAGGCTCAAGACAAAGCCCTCTTGATATTTCTCTAGTCACATTTCCTTGGAGTCAACCATTGATCACCTTTTGTGTCCAGTAGATCAAATAGTTACAAAGCTGCCTAATAGTACTGCCTAGTGCGCATTTTAAATTTTTATCTACAGTTATGTATTGTTATAGATAAGTGTTTGTAATGGTAAGTATATAGTATTTCATAATATTGGGGATGGTAGCCAGCTTAGCTCGCTTTGAGCTGAGTTGCTATGGAGATAGGAGTGGAGCCAACTGCCACTTAGCAGAGCAGCCATTTTTAAAGCAGTCAGTCTGTGGTCGATGAATCATAGAATCATAGAATCAATTGTGTGTGGAGAACCAGTGAGGATTCTGTAGTCAAAGAACTACAGGGGAAGGCTGATTCTTTGAGCCAATATAATTTAGATAAGTCGAGTGACTTATTTATATTAAAAGTAACGGTTGTGGAAAAAGAGGGGAAGCCCTAATAAACATCTTTATTGTAACAGAACCATCATAAAGAAAGGATAAGCGTGTGCCTGAAACAATCTGTTAAAGAAAGAAACATCTTTTTAAAGGAACTAAGTTTGAGACCTGTTTGTTAGTAGAATTAGACCTCCTAAGAGTTATTTAAGAACTGTTTTGAATGTAACCTTTGAAGATCTGTACCTCTAAGAGAAAGGAAACTTTGAAACCATCAAACTTCTGTACCTCAATAAACTTGTTAGAGTTTCTTTTTAAAGTCAAGCCTATGTTACCATTCCTTTCCAAGTCAAGTCACGCTACATATTGAAGGAAGACCAAAGCAACATTACAAGCTATTGGTTGTGTCATCAATATAATAAGCCCTCACAAAGAGGTGACTCCTTTTACCAACTCTTTACATATTGGTAACAGTTATATTTATGCCTCCTTACAATTTGGTGGCATCATTACAAATTAGTGGCCAAGGCTTTACAATTAGTAGCAGTAATATACGGGCACCTTCACACTAGTGCACATTTTAACAGCTTTTAAATTGCAGTTCACGCAAAAGTGTTTGTACATCCTCTTTGGTTTCTTCTAGCATCCCACACTTACCCTCCACTTGGAATTATTTAGAAAGTGTGCCTTCAATATCTCACCTTTAAAAAATCCCCAAATTTCCCTACACTACCTATTAGCCTTCTTAAAATCCCAGTTGTATCTGTGACTACCTTTGGTGTCCCCTTTGCTCTGTATAACAAATTCCAAAGAATCCCACTATTTCCCTCCTCATTGATCAGATTTTTAGGATCACATCCAAAATAGTTGATCCTCTTGTTGTCTTCCAACTTCTAGGCAATTAAATCGACTGTGAGGCAAGAGAAGAATTTGTTGGACATTACATTCTTGGCTGAGTTTAACTTCCAATAAACATTTGGTTGGTTTCCCATTACTATTATATTTTCTTTTTGAATGTTGGGTCAGTTGTTCTAGGAAGGCATCTCTGTTTTCAGTCTGCCTCGTGGGGGTCTTCAGGAAACTCCCACAATGATATCACTGTTGTTTCCTTCTCCTTAATTTTTACCCAAATGATCTCAATCTATTTTGCATGCTTTATAGATCTCCCAAGTGTGCACATTCTTGACATAGAATGCTCCATCTCCTCCTTACCTGTTTGATCTAATTTTTGTTACTACATTCCAATCATGATATTCCTCCCACAAGGTTTCAAGGATGCCTATTAAATCATATTTGCCCTCCTTTGTTGAGAAACAATTGCTTGACCCAGAAGTGGAGAATATTGGCCAGAGATGTAAAGGAGCAATGCAACAACATATTTGTCCATCCATTGTGAAACATTCCCTACCTCAGGTAGGAGGGAAAGCTAACTTAGATGTTGAAAGCTTATGCCCACCAACATACAGCTAGCACAGTGTTTTCCAACCTTCCTAATGTAGTGACCCTTTAATACAGTTCTCCATGTTGTGGTGACCCCACAAGTCCAGGAACATACTAATCATGCTTATAGTTGTCCAGAGGAGGGCGACTAAAATGATCAAGGGTCTGGAGAACAAGCCCTATGAGAAGCGGATCAAAGAGCTGGGCATGTTTAGCCTGCAGAAAAGAAGACTGAGAAGAGACTTGTTTTCTGTTGCCCTGGAGACTAGGATGCGGAGCAATACTTCAAACTACAAGAAAGGAGACTCGACCAGAACATTAGAAAGAACTTTCTGACTGTGAGAGCTGTTCAGCAGTTGAACTCTCTACCCCGAAGTGTGGTGGAGGCTCCTTCTTTGGAGGCTTTTAAACAGAGGCTGGATGGCCATCTGTCGAGGGGTGATTTGAATGCAACATTCCTGCTTCTTGGCAGGGGGTTGGACTGGATGGCCCATGAGGTCTCTTCCAACTCTAGGATTCTAGGTCATTCCATATCTTTAAACTCAGCCACTGTTCTGGTACGGCTGTAGCAGGAGCTCCAGCTTCTTTTTTTTTCTTTGAGTGTTTGCATGTATTCCATGCATTTTGCAATAAGGTGGCTTCCCTTGGTTTGCAATTATAGGGCCAATGACCCATAATCATCATTAGGTTCTTTAGTTCCGCCCCTTTTTCTGGGTTTAGGAGGGAAAAAGGGGACCTCTAGTTCAGTTCACACAGAGAAGCCTTTCGTACAGGACGTGAATCAGTTCCACCTGTAGAAAGCTTCGTCTTTTACAGCTTTTGCTGGGGGGATCCAGTCCCACAGTTCTACAGCTTTTGCTGTGGGGAACTCAGTCCCACAGCTCTATAGAGAAGCATAGCCTTTGCTGGGGGGATCCAGTCCCACAACTTTACAGCCAGCCTTCGCTGGGAATTGAAGACTTTCTTTCCTCTTGGAAATCTACAAAAGGACTCTGTTTGGTAAGGACCACTCGCGGCAGCCATAATGCAATTTGGACCGGGTGTAGGGGCCCACGCCAGCAGAGCCTAAGACAGATTTCCCAGGTAGAGGTCAAGGATTTCCCTGATAGTGAAGAAACAGTTCATGAAGATGTATTGTCGAAGGCTTTCATGGCTGGAATCACTAGGTTCTTGTGGGTTTTTTTGGGCTATAGGGCCATGTTCTAGAGGCATTTCTCCTGACGTTTCGCCTGCATCTATGGCAAGCATCCTCAGACGTAGTGAGGTCTGTTGGAATTAGGA